ACTGTTGGGCTATAGTTAAAACTTCCTTGTCACTTTTCTTGTGGAAAAGAACACCAGTATGTAGCAGCATCATTTTTGAAGTCAATGTTTTGCATTGTAAGAGGAACTGTGAATGGGTTTAAGCTCATAACTATCCATTTGCGGCGCAAAAAACCATCAATTTTATATGATGCGATAGAGTTTGTCAGCAAATTTGCAGAATATTTTGCTTAAGCTTTCGGATTGCTAATTCATTAGTGTTGTGATGATGCTGGCAGCCACTGTCACGTCGAAAAATACAACCATGGAGAAGGTGGTCAACAAACAACTACGAGAACGGGTCATGATCGTGAAACCGCTGTTAACGCTTTCTGCGCGGCGACGTCGCGCCAAGGTGCTGCAGCAATTACTTCTCTGAAGCGAGCACTTCAGCTCCTCAGTAGATCCCCGTTGCAAAAAATTGCTGCTCAAAGTCAATCCCCCGAAGGCAAAGTCTTGGCCCAAGAGATAAGAGACTTACTCGAAGTTTTTTGCACTAATTCCGTATGTGTGTAACAATTCGAGTGCGCCGTGCCATCCCATTTCACTAAAAACAGGTTTCTGCGACTGCTTTAGCCACATTCTAATAAGATTTCATATCATTCATTTCACAAATAAAAGCGATTTGAGACTGCGCGCAATTTCTCGAAGTTGATCGCTGCATCTCGGCCTTTTTCTCATCCCAATGCTATTCGGTGTACTACGTTTGTGAAAGTTGGCACGAGTGATTGCTGACTGATGATCAACCGAAAGTGCTGATTTCGATTAATCAAATGTTGTCTCACCAGATCGGGTCATTGTCACTCACATTCATCACAAGTAAAGGTTTTCACTTCTTTTTCTTCTTTGCTGTACTTGATGACCCAACTCTGATCGCCGCTTATGCATAGTTCATCAAACCTCATTTTTACTGCTTTTTGGTGTCTTTGCTCAACCATAATTTCTTCTTTCGTGGTATCAACCACGCTTGAACATTCGTTTATCTCCGTTTTTTTTTACAAAATTTTAATCATAGGGTATTTTATAAGAATGACAGCCAACAACGATACGAGTAAGAAAGATCAGGACGAAGCTAAACCAAAAAATAATGTAATCTATCCCATAGAAGATTTATATGTAGACGATCCCAAGAAGAATACCAAAGGTACCGATGTTCCATTCCCCCAAATCCTTACTTTTTTCAATCAACGCCACTTCCACCTGTTGTTTTCATTCTTCAGCTTATCAAGTCAATGCCGAGAAGACAACAGAAAAACCCGAACTTTCTGAGAAAGCTCTATCCATTGCCTCATCTACAGAGGATCAAAAGGGTAGTGAAAAATCGTGGTGGTCCCGCTTCAAAGAAATATATGCATTTTCTGATAAAACAGATTTAAAGGTACGCTTGTTCTCATTTCTTTCGCAAAAACTTTGTCAGGCCTGTGTTTAGCTCATGATGGTTGGCCTCTTTTGCGCACTTCTGCAAGCAGGGATTCCACCGTTCGTTTGGCTTGTCATGGGCAATTTCATAACGCTGTCTATAACAAGAGAGGTAGCTGTTTCAATTTTTGTTCCTGTTAAATCTTCGTCATCAGTAGATTTCTACACAGTGATGTATCTAATATAAGAATCAAAGGTCATATCTGCATAAGATCAATTGCAAGTTGAGACACCCCTAAGTTTTTACCAGTTGTAAAAGACAATAGTGAACTTTGACAGTTTTTGACAAACGCCGTTCGCATTGCACTAATAGCAGGGAAAGTACTGAGAACTATAATTTACGGTTTATCTAAGATGAATCATCCAGTTAAGAATGAAATTCCTTATTGCCGCTATTGACCCAAATGTACTTGTATGTCTTGAGGAAAACGGCGATTCGAACACTTCAAGAGAAGGGGCCCTTCTCCGATTTGTTTTACTAGCTACCATGCTAGGCAGTGTTCTTTGCACTTCAAATCTGGCCACACATCGCATACAGTAGTAAAACAGCCTATTGGTCACGACCTTTGACAACTCCGGAAGATATAATTGTTTCCAGAAAAATACTCGCGTGGAACTATCGTACAGTTATAACAAGCTGCCTGTTTGCAGCCAAAAGTGTAGAGGGGGTATTCAAAATTTAGAAAGTGACAATTCAAAGGTAAACTAGGCACCGCTGCATTAAACGAAAAAATGGAGATTGTTTCTGTAAGAATTGGGTTTGAGCGTAAGTCTTGCACCCATATCCTGGAGAACTCATTCAAAAAGCTTAGGTAACCAATTCCATTTGCATAGCATTTTTTCGCTGCGTATAATAAATGAGTAGTCAATCAATACATTGCAAAAAGTCATCCGGACACTCAATGTTCGAAAAAAAATTCAAAAATTGAACTCGTGGACATCTGGTATCACGAAGTTATCTCATTAAAGAAAAGTAGTCATGAATTTCAACCCAAAGGAAAAATCAGAATTCGTTGGAATTTGAGCACGAAGAAAAATTTCAAGTACTCTTCAAGTGTTCATATCTATCAGCTTCTATTGCCGCTATATAACAGCAGTTTTGCCCCTGGCGCAATTAAGAAACGCATACTCTTTCTTCAATTACCATAATATTTCGAATGGATCATCAAATAAAAGAAGAGCAATTTGCAGAAATTTTGGTGAGAGATTTATGTTGCAACTTACTACAGCTCAGGATAAGTCCTAAATGAATAAAAATCTGTTTTTGGAAAAAGAAATCCTACGAATTGTATTTCTAGGAAGAGAAATTGTTCAATATCACTGGATATCAGAACAGCACGAGTTTCGATGAGGAGTTTGCACAGTCAGCTACACCTGCTTTCGTTGCTATGCTCTCTTTGTCTGTCAGCATGTTTATCGCTGCGTTTTTCCAGGTATTACAAACTACCGTTGAAGCTGAAATATAATTTCAGAATTCAAATCTTTGCAGAGATTGGCTTGGGAAGTCTCTGGTATACGACAAGTGTTTCGAGTAAGACGTACGTATGTGCGAAAAATGCTTCATATGGATGTCGCATGGCTGGAGAGTCGACAAAGCGGTCAAATGGCGACTATGCTTCAAGAGTAAGTAAAAAACAAAATTTCTAGATATTTTTCCCTTTTTTTCATGCAACTTACAAAAATAAGTGTTTATTATCCCCATAATTGATAGTTTTGTAGCTAAGCTCGACACAATTTTTTTGCATATTTATATGGACGAAACTAGGGCAATTACTCTTGCTCTTACTACAGAGTTTATAAAGATATTATAGAATGGTCTAAGATACTACCCTATCACCTTGATAAATAAATGTTCAAATATTTCCTAATAAATCAAGATCGTATCTTTTTCTTGATCTATTTTCCTTCGCCTTTTTATGACCAGAGTTATAAGTTCTTTGAAGCACTAGAAATACTGGACTATGGTCAGCTGCCATTCTGTGGTGGTTAATTAGGTATAGGAAATTTTGATTTCTTATGAGAATAAGGTTATTACTAAAGAAAAAAATACATAGAAATATTACCTAGATGCATTGCGAGCAAATCGAATAAGTTTGTTATCGTTTGCCTGTTTTAAAATTCAATTTAACTACATATGTCGATGATAGTTCTTGTTTGCATAGAGCACGCGTTACCGTTCAACGTTCTAGAAGTTATATGAAGAGAAATTTACTTGAACTTTCAGGCTTGCGGAATCCATCTACAACGGGATAGCGGACAACATTCCTATGGTAGTTTTTATTACAGCATATCTGATAGTGAACATAGGTAAGCTCCCAACATGTCAGCTTTACCTAAATTTTATTTTATTTTTGCTAACTGCAGCCGTTTGTATATACATTCAATGGGATGTGACACTGCTAATGTGTTCCGTGATTCCGATGTTGATTGTGAGCAGAATCCTGTTCAGCAAGGTTAGCAGACGACTTTGATGATTCACTTTTTGAACTGTTCCATCAGGCTTAAGTGCTTTTAGTGGTTCGCGAAAACAATGGACGAGGAGATGGTTCTGCAGAACAAACTCAGCAATCTAGTGAACGAGACGTTCAGTTGCATCCGCACGGTCATATGTTTCGCTGCACAAAAGCAAACAATTAACAAGTAACGGAAAGCTCTAGAAAACCATTCTGCAACTTATAACCTAAGGAAAATTATCCTAGGTTTGAGAGACTATCAATGGAAGCGAACAAACTGACCGAGACGCGGTTGCGTTCCTCAACAGTTTACGATAGCTTAACACAGGTAAGGCTCAAATTACTTAAAGCACACCTATACTACAAAGTGATGTGCTCCAGATTCTCCTGACAGAATTGATCTTCACAGGAGCTCTATGTTATGGGATATGGAGGGTAGCAGATCAAGCTCCTGGAAGACTGGCAGCGGTAAGTTCGTCTTCTTTTTGAGAATCTTAACCGTGTTACATGTATGGCTTCTTCTATTTAGCTAATATATTCAAATCATTTTAAACCAACCAAACATCCCACTTCAGCCATAGTTCCACCTCACTTTATTTCTTTAGTTGGCTATCAACATGCTGTATATGTGCGTTACCTCGATCTCGATAGGTTTCCACATAAATGGTGCTTCTACAGCGCGACAGAATGCCTCTCAGTTGTGCAAAATCATGGGTAAGTCTTTTACTACAGTAGAGTTCTTATATCAGTAAGCTCCTTGCAGAAGAGAAGCCCAAAATCGAGAGGGATTACGGGTTTGCTGGTGACAATCCCAAGGAACGTTTACCAGATCCAAAATATCGCAGACAGAGTATGAAATTTCAAGGTAAGCACCCAGTTCTCCAGACTTTGGTCGTGCATGATTGTAAAGCAACAGTGTCAAAGAAGTTCCTACATTTAGGAAAAGGAGCGCTAGAATTTCGTGACATTCATTTTAGCTATCCTAGCAGGCCCGATGTAAAGGTATGTGCAAAACTAAAGTTATTCTAGTTGGTACAGTTCCAGAAAAGATTCATATAAAGACAGTCTAAACGTCTCCTGTTCGCTACCGTACTCGCTTGTATCATTTAGGTGATCAATGGCATTTCCTTTCACGTCGAAGCCGGCGAAAGAGTAGCGCTCGTCGGTTCCAGCGGCTCGGGAAAAAGTACCCTGACAGCACTCCTTCTACGATTTTATGATCCTGACAGTGGCTCGGTCAGTTGTGTTCTGCAGATTTTGGAGAGAATAATTGTTTTAAATATCCAAAGTCATGCTCTGTAACGGATATGAGTGGAGAAAAGTCCGAACTATTACTAAGTTTTAGATCCTTCTGGATGGTGACAACATCAAGACAATGTGCCCGGATGAACTTCGTGGTATGTGCTCCCTCGTCTCTCAAGAACCCATACTCTTCGACGGGACTATTAGTGACAATATTCGATATGGGAGACTAGACGCCACTCAGGTAAGTCTTACAATACAAACAACTTTGTATTTGGAAGTGAAATACATGCTGCTTTTAGCAAGAGATTAATGCAGCTGCTAGAAAAGTTGGAGCGTGGCAATTCATCAGCGCACTTCCCGAGGGCATGCAAACTAGAGTTGGCGACAGGTACATTCACATTGGCCTAACAAACCCACAAGAAGAGATTTGGATTTTCAGGGGTCTGCAGCTGTCTGGAGGCCAAAAACAACGAGTCGCTATTGCTCGAGCCGTGATAAGGTAAGACAACTACGGTATGGAGCCTTCAAAGGCCGCCGCCACAACGCGTCGCACGCCGCTCGCAGCTGTCCTTGAATCAGGCAACGGCGGGAACCCAAACGGTCGGATGTCGAGCTGCTGCTACGAGGCTGACCTTGCAACCCGGGCACAGCAGAGGTGGCGCTTTCGCAAGCTGGATGTCGTTTTTTGAGGGGAAAGCAAAGGGAAACCCGTAAAGTTTCCACCCAGAAACCTGCCGAAATATCAGAAAGCACAACTCTAACTTTTAGCAAGCCCGAATTTGAAGATCTAACGTAATTTTACCGGTTACAGTTGAATTAACACGTTACAAATACGATTAGTACATAAACCTCCAAGAATATGAACAATCGGTTTGTTTACAACGAGTAAGTACTGAGCCATGAAATCTGTTGTATTTACATTCGCGGCGATGATCAAAAGAAAAGTGCGAAAATTGATGAAAAATTATGTGAATGAGAAGAGTTTTTTCGATTTTAGGTTGCTGCCGTGCAACATGCTAGCACCCTGAGGTTGCGCGGGATCAGACAAAGTCATGAATCTTACAGTTCTGCTATTCTTTAGATCAAGCTCTACCTAAAAGTACTAATCTTAACCCAAGTTTCGTTCACTATGCATTGTTACGGCTCTTGATGATATGAAAACAAGCATTTCTCGCTTTCACTTTTAATCTTCGACTTATTCTTGACTTTTCTTCATTTCAATCCACTTTTTTTCCTTGCAGAATGTCAGAAGCGCTACAAACGCCACAAAAATTATCTTGTAATTATCTGCAAAGTTAAGGGGGACTTTGTATTTGAATTTCCCATATGCCACCTCCTACTGGGCTCTTCTCGCAACTGCTTGTGGCTGCAATAATAAGGCGCAAGAAATGCACTTCAATGGGTTCTAAGGAATATTAGGAATTCGTCGTCGCATAGGAGTTCTAAAAAGCAATGATTACACTGTTCAATCAAGCTCTTACATTCATTCAACCTTACTGATCTTCTCATGCCGTTAAGGAAACCTACAGTAATGCTGTTCGATGAAGCAACCTCTGCTTTGGATAGTATCCATGAAGAGGAGGTCCAAAATGCAATCGATCTTGCATCCGAAGGTCTAACCACAATAACAATCGCACACAGGTTACTTTTGCAAATATCGTAAACTACAAATGAATTCTGTGTGTTCCACTTAATCCCGTTAACATTGTAGAATGACTGCGGTAAGAAACTGTGATCGAGTTATCGTACTGGAAGAAGGTCGTATTGTTGAAGAGGGACCACCTGATGAGCTGATGGGAAAAGAAGGAGGACGATTTCAAAAAGTTGATATTTACCTAGACGATAAGTTGTCATGCAACACTCTTTTTTAGCTCTACAACGACCAGAGAGTGGATATCTCTGCGCATGCTCCAACAAAGTCAAATTTGGTTCCACATGCTTCTGTGGCTCTGGGGCAATACTACCGCCCACAAATCGTACATATTATTTATTTGAAAGATTACTATCAACTCCTCCCCCCTCCCCACCTCCCTGCCCTCACCATCTTCTGCAAAATTCTATTCATAAGCTTGCTTGCTACAGTACGCCGTGTATTAACCTCAGTTCGCTGTCACAGATATTGAGTTGGCACATATGTAATGCAACTTTCTATATAACTTTTGTCTTTTTTAACGAGCGTATCCATCTTTTTGCAATATAAGGATTATGATGTAAACACATTTTTGTCCGGTTTTGCCATCTCGTGTAAGGGTTACGGTAAGTAAACAGTACAATGAGAAAATTTTTAGATTCGGTCAGATTTTGCTGAAACTTGGCCAATCAGGATTATTCGACATGCTTTCGCATGAAAAGTCTTTTTTGTAAAGTCAACGAATGTCAATCTTAGCGACAAACGAATGTGCTATTCGTATTTATCACATCTATCCTATTCTGCAAAGCTTTAGCGAATTCTGACTTTTCGCAGCTTAGTTATCGACAGATTGCACTCCCAATTTTACGCATTTGACTTGTTCAACTTCTCAAAACCGCCCTATCTTGATTTGTCTTCAAATTTCATTTCTTTTCTCCTGATTCCAATGCGTCAGCTTTTAGCTACATGCTGCCTATAATTTCTTTCAGATGTGTTCGATTCAGGTTTTATACGGCTTCAGATTTGCCAGGAAACCGTGAAACCTGATTTTCAAGGGTTTTCAAAGCTGGAAATTTTTCTATTATGTTATCAAAAATCAAAAGGTTTGCTCAGACTTGCAGCTTATGTCACACTCTATATGATGCGAGAGAATGAGAGTGCTACATAGAATAAGAAAAACTTATGGGAACAGTTACATAACTCATGTGCCAACCTAATAAAATTTTCGAGGTTTTTGAGACATTTTATTGAGAAGACAATACATAAATACCATTCTCTCTCCCCCCCCCCCCTATTTATGCAAAAAGAATATTGCCATTGTCGAACCATCAACATGGGCAATTAAATTTTTGTTTGCAGACCGGCCGCAGAGCCACACTCACTCGTAGCACATCTATAGAGCCCAAGAAGATCGGAAAATCATACTCCGTTCTTAGTCATGACCGCGAAAAGCTTGCGCTTCCTGGTGCGTGTGCTGTTCTATCCACCAAATATTTTCATAGACATGCCTTATATCAATTGCAGTGATGAGTAAGAAACGATCACAACGACTGGACTACAAGTATTCCACAGTGGGTCGAATGGATCTTGATATTGATGTGACACCAGCTGAGGAGGAGCCTCATGTATGGAAGCAATAAATGCGCCCTTTATACACAATTCATGTATCACCAATTCCAGCTTGACCTACCTGGAAAATCTAAGAGCTATCATGCAGTTTGGGAGCTTATTTCGGGCTATAAGGATGGATATGCTCTACTTGGCGGTGCTATTCCCACTACCATTATTAGAGCATTTTTCTATTTACTCATTTGCTTCGAAGTTGCTTCGGTGCTAGAGGTTCGACTGAGTGCTCAAAAGCCGTGTTACATCCATGTGGCTGGCAATAATTTTTTTAGGTGTCGATAGTGCCACAAGAAGAACGAGCAGAAAGGATCTTTATCGTTGCAGCAGTTTATATAGCGCTAATTATTATTAAAACAATTTTTGAAGCTCTTGGGGTGAGTCTATGACATTTGGAAAGACGTACGATTTTTAAATATTACTGCTGAAGGAACTTTTTTCGTGTGGATAGTGCATCATTTATGCATATTTGATGTAAATGATGAGTTTCTTTTACAGAGACTTTTTATTGCCTTATTTGGTCACGGATTTTGCTCCTACATGAGGTTGACCATGTTTAGAAAGGTATCGTGATAATTTCAAAAAAAACTCATCCCCAAAATTTCTCACTCAGGTAATGCGCCATGGTTGCGCATATTTTGATGAGGAGCGAAACAGCCCTGGCAGGATTCTCACCAAAATTATAAACGACTCATCAAGCTTGAATAAAATTATGGAGCAGAAACTTGATCTTCTGATTCCGGCTATAATTTGCCCAGGTAAGCGTATTGAAATGTGTACAGATGCAGACATCATTTCTCGACTACCCCAATGGTCATATTCCGGACCATTGAATCGCTTCAAAGTTTGATTACAAAAAACATTTCATCTTTAGCATTCTCCTTCATCGCTGCGATGTATATCAACTGGAAGATGGCTCTTCTGTGCTCATTTCAGTTCCCTGCCTATTTCATCATACGAATTGTGCAGATTAAAGAGGGAACAAAGAGGTGAAACTGTTAATTGTTGAATGTCAAGCTCACTTATGTCATCTTCTTAAGGCAGAGGGAAATGGTCAATGAGGAAAATAATGCGGCAAATCTAGCTACTATTGTACTTTCAAACATGAGTACAATCAAGGCATACAATTTACAAGAACATTTCTATTCCATTTTTACCAAAACTTTAGAGCCGCTGGCCCGGTGAGAAATTATGACCTTAATCAAAAAAAGAAGATTTCTTTGACCTCATATTGAACAAAGGTGATTCAGGGCAATGAAGCGTCAGTCAATGATATCATCCTTCGTATTTGCTTGCCAGTTCTCGTTCACATACATTCTCATAGCAATAACCCTATATTTTGGAAAGGTTATGATGTTGAGCAACCAGATTTCTGTTTTTGACTATATGAGGTAGGTTTTTGAGTGACAACATATTTGATAGCAAAATCTGATTTGAAAAAAAAAACTCCAGGGTAGTCCTCCTGACACAATTTGGTGCGAACTTCTTCTCGCAGCTGGTGGCGTCCGTGTCAGATCTGTCCAAAGCACGAATTGCTGCTGAAAACGTGGTGAACGTGCTCAAAGAAACGCCAAATGAAATCGACAACCTTACTGAGGAGGGACAGCGACCTGTATGGAAAAAGAAAATTTTCTTTAATTTGTTTTGATATATCTTATTTCCAGAAATTAGAGGGTAATATCCAGCTGCATAATGTGTCATTTCGTTATCCAACAAGACCTGTGGTTCCAATTCTCAACAAGCTCAATCTCAAAGTAGAGCAACTTCGTCTTTTTTTGCTACAACAATTTTCAAAAGGTTTCTTGCAGATAAAAACAGGTCAAAATGTTGCCCTGGTGGGCCCATCAGGTTCAGGAAAGAGCTCAATTATTGCACTCATACAGAGGATGTATAACGCTACGGATGGTGAAGTGGTTAGTTTTTGAAAGATTTTTTTTGTTAGGTTTGGTCTATATAAATAACTCTATCCACACAATTCAGTTGCTGGACAAATACAACGTGCAGTCAATCAATCCAGCCTATTTGCGAAGGGTAGTGGTTAGTGTTGGTCAAGAGCCTACGCTATTCTCATTTACAATAAAGGTTGGCAAAACTACATCGCTTCCTGGGAAAACGAAAATTTTCTAATCATAGGAAAATATCATCTATGGTATGATGGAAAATGAAGTTTCCATGGAACAAGTCATTGAAGCAGCAAAAATAGCTAACATCCATGATTTCATCTCGAGGCTTCCACAGGTAAGGCATACGGCCGAGTAGATTACGCCGGCCAATTGCGCGCGCAAAATACCTGCATTGCTGGCGTAACTACTTGTTCACGCGCAAATTTTACAGCATTTCACCTGCAGTGCAAGCACACTATATTAAGCGGAAAATATCTACACGACTGTACACTTTAGGGTTAAGAGGCGAGATATTGATCTGTTGCTTACTGTAGGGTTACGATACCGAAATCGGTGAGTTCGGTGCTCAGCTCTCTGGTGGCCAGAAGCAGCGTATAGCCATTGCCAGAGCAATTGTTCGTAAACCTGTCATACTTCTTCTGGACGAAGCTACAGCAGCACTGGATAGCGCAAGCGAAAAGGTATTGCTTAACCTGATTCGTATATCTGGTTGTGGATGTGCATCCTAATGATAATATGCGCATTTTCAGGCTGTACAAATGGCTTTTGAAAAGGCTCAAAAGTCCTGCACCTGTATCCAAAGTAAGTCCTTTAACAAATACTTCACTGAGACCGTTCAAGTTGATAATAATATTCAGTTGCTCACCGCTTATCGACAATACGGAATGTCGATAAGATTTTTGTCGTCGTCGATGGCGCCATAGCTGAAGAGGGCACACACGAACAACTGCTCAATAAACATGGAGTATATTACGATATGACGTTATCGTCGTAGTATAATACCACAAATACACAATATATTCCTCTCGTATTATTTTGACATGTACCTTACTCTATCACTTCCCGATGCACGTGCCTGTCTCTAATTTGGGTCTACTTTTCATCCACATATCTTTCTTCGCATCCTTGATGAAGCCATGTAACTTTGTGAACGAATGTAGTTTTCTCTAATAGTCTGAGCTAATGCAAAATGTAGTAGTTGAATTATAAGATAAAATGATAGTGATTAGCATGTTATTGAATCTCGCCTGAATTTGCCAAGTCTATGATCGACTGTGTCATCTCTACATTATGTTTTGATTCGCTTAACAGTCATAGACATTTGTTTCCAGGATTGTCTCATACGGTTCATAAGAGATCTAAGTGCAAGCACTCAGAATCTAATTATATAAGTCGATGTATCTGCTATTACGCTACAAATAAAATTTGTACAAACTGAATAGTCTATCACTCTTTTACCGAATTTGATTCACAGTCTGATGGCAACTCGGAAGCTAGTGTTAGAAAACTAAAGACAAATTTTTTTCACGATGTGTGAGTTCTTTTTGATGATTTTCGTTCTTATAACGCAACTAAGAAAGCACTTAGTGAAGGCTTTCCTGTATAAGCAAAACGGGCAAGACATCCAGGATGGTTACGCACAATATGGATGATGTGTGCACTGGGGGTGTAGGCCCTTTTGAACCCTTCGCGACGCTCATCTCGCCGCGTGCGGCGCCGCTGGCTAAGTTAACGAGTCGCATTTACAGTCAACGGGAAAATTCTTGTTCGAAGTATGTAATATACCTCTGCCAAAACCTCTCATCATGTTGGCACGAAAGATGTGCAAAAATGAACGAGTATTAGCTCGTTATGGCAGTGGACATGTTGACCAATCAGAGGCGCGCTATGATAGCGAGCGGTTCAAAAGGGCCGTTTCCCGTGCATTGGCACACATTCAGAAACTGTGCATGAAACCGTGGCCAAGCGGCTCGCGGGTTGAAAAAAGATCTCACATGCAAAAGGTTTACTAACTATACATCATCAGAATTTACCAGGAAAATGTAACTAGATCATCTTGTCGTCAGAAGCAGATATCAACAAAAATAATTCTTTATTTTGTAAGTATGCTACCAGAAAAAAACCGTTGCCAAATCACTACAGAGGTTGGGGTGAATGAAGTCAGAGATGAAGTTCAGCTCCATTTCATGAAATTCGAATAAGAACGTCATTTATTTGATAGTTGACAGCACTAGTGAGTTTTTACTCTCTTATTCTTGAAGTCTCCTGGAGACAAATTAGAGAGATGCATAATTTTCTAAGCTAGAATGCGACAGCTCAAACCACAAACAATTAACATCATAGGCTTTAAGAAATACGCATAATCATAAATTTACGCTACACAATAAGAGACCACTAAGACTTCCCTTATTTATCAATTAGATCGATTTTTTGTCGCTGTACTGCACCCGGCCGTTCATCTCTCGACCAAGGTCGGCGGTAGTGATTCTTGCATATTATCTGCGTTCTCTATCAACCATGCACTTCAGTTGTTTACCAGTCTTTTCATGTTTCGAAATTCCCGTTTCAACTTGTAACTTTAAGATGCTGAAAAATGTGATCGAACAACTTGTGAACTCACCCAACAACGAACATAAACCTCTAACAAATTTCATCAATAATGAGTTTGTGGAAACGGATGATCTGATCGCTTCGGTGAACCCGGCAACAGGGCGGACATGGATTCAGATTCCAAATTCGGGTGAAAAGGAAGTCAACGAAGCCGTGGCAGCTGCCAATCAAGCATTCCCATCGTGAGTTTTATCTTTATCTTCTTTTGTACAATCTCAGACAGTCGATGGGATACTTCCGGAGCAGAAGTGGCAGGGTCGCTGGCTTTCCCCAGCGGAGGAATGCCACTTCGCGCCCCGAAGCCCTGCCATTTCACGCATTTTTGTGCTCCGGGGCTCTCCCAAAAGTGGCGCACCTCCGGAGGGATGCGGTGCAGGAGGAACCAAAGGCCTACCGCCTGTAGCCGTAGGAAATAATTAGGAGCGCGAGCGCTGAAGAGGAGATTTTGGCAAGGATCCAGGAAAACTTGGCGAGGACATCCATTAGAAACAAACCCTTATAACTCTCCATGGAATTAAGTTTGAAGGATAGGAAGGACAGATTTGGAATCAGTATTGAAATGCGCATTTCTCAACAATACGCTTATCGGATAGATAAACAACTCTGTCTCGCTACTCGGTATTTTTACCAAAAATTGTGCTTTCAAAATTCACCATTTTAAGCTGAGGAATTTCAAGTTTAATATTGTGCGAAAGAATTTGAGTGATTTAATGAAATTTCTAGATCGAAGTTGAAAGTGGTAATAAGGAAGTAATGTTAGCTAAGTTGCATGTGATGAACATCTTGACCCAAACCTCTAGATGTGTTTTTATGACTTTTTGATTGCTTTGGATTGACTCAAAAGGCAAACTATTCCCTTATCTCAAAGAAAAAGAATGAATTTTGAATGAAAACCGCGGACTTTAACAATTTAAAACTTCAAGTAGTTGACTTTTGTTACCACTACAATTCCAAGTTTTCGTTTACTTTTAGGCCCAGTGAATGCGCCTTTCAATTTACATTACAAATATGTTTTTCAAAGTTTTCGAAGTCATTTCCAGGCAAAGTTAAGAAGATTTGTTCTTAAAGGGCGTCCTAGCCGAGTTTTCTTGGATCCCTGCCAGAATTTTCTCCACACCGCTCGCGCTCTCAATTATCTCCTGCGGATACAGGCGGCAGCCCTTTGGTTCCTCCTGCACCACCCCCCCCTCCGGAGCAGAGATTTGCTCGTCGCGGAGAGGGGTCCCATTCTTTCACCGTGACGTCACGTGACGTCACAAACAGGACGGGGCTCTCCCAAAGGTGGCGCACCTCCGGAGCAGAGATTTGCTCGTCGCGGAGAGGGGTCCCATTCTTTCACCGTGACGTCACGTGACGTCACAAACAGGACGAATGGGACCCCTCTCCGCGACGCGCAAATCTCTGCTCCGGAGGTGCGCCACTTTTGGGAGAGCCCCGGACCACAAAAATGCGTGAAATGGCAGGGCTCCGGAGCGCGAAGTGGCAGACTCGCGCCATATCCCGCCGGAGGTATCCCTTCGACTTCTGAAATGGTCTGGTTCAATGCCTAGCATCTAGTCACAAACACAGGTATGATTGATTTTGAAAGGGCTGAGTATGTTGGGTTGAAGGCACCGTCCACCCTAACTTGAGGATCTTGAGCTTTTGGCAGCATATGAAAGCCCCTCAAGCCAAGGCCCAAGTCGCGGCGCAAAATGTCACTTCGGGAGCGAGAAAATCGCTCCGGAATAACGAAGATGCACGAAGAGCCTCAGACGGCACCGCCCTCCCCATCCATGCCGCCCATCCGTGCGCGCCCAGCCAGGCACCGTTCCGGAAAGCCGGCTGCGGGTTCTCGGGAACGGGGTATTGGGGTTTTCGCGAATTCTCATCATATTCGGAAGCAGGGACATGAGAGGGTCCGGGAACGATCAGAACATGGAAGTCGAGAATCTGGTGGACGGTGCCCTTGATTGGATACTGAGGTCATGTAGCCATGCAGAGCTGGAAGAATCTTCGGAAGAGTGCTCGAAAGACCGTAAAGTAAAATGCCAAAATTGAGCTACTCTCGATCCATGTTACTTATGTAAAAAGGGAGATGACGAGTTTATCTATTTATGTTACGTTCACTCGGTAGTCAATACAGACGGAAACGTCTGAAGGACTGCGGACTGCTCGCTCCGAATGTAATGCATGATTTCTTTTGAGGTGGCGAAAAAATTACAGGTGTTAAGATAGAAAAATAGAGCTTTGTCAAGACTATCCTATCAACTTGCTCGGGGAGGGTTACTGCCAGCACGTTTAGGTGGTCTACAACAAGCGTTCAGCACCGCTCGAATCTTCTACTGAAACTTGCTGACATCATAGAAGAGAATGCAGAAGGGTTTGCAACTTTAGAGTCTAGGGATCAAGGAAAGCCAGTAACATTAGCCAGGTAAATAATGTAATTCTCGTTCTTGATCTGAAATTTACTGTTCTAGGGCGATTGACATTCCACGCTGTATTCACAACTTCAGATTTTTTGCGACAGCTATCCTGCATCATATTTCTCCGTGCGTTTTTGTCGTAGAAGTAATTTGGAAAAACCTATGCAGTTAGCATTGTAGATCTACGGTAATTGACGAGCCAGTTCGAGCTGTGAATTATGTCAGAAATGATCCCATAGGAGTAGCCGGACTCATTAGTCCATGGAATCTTCCACTGTACCTAGTTGGTTTAGGTGGGGCATACGTGGATTAATGTAAATCTTCGAACTTTTAGCTGTCGTTCAAGTTAGCACCAGCCCTCGCAACAGGAAATACGGTTGTGTGTAAGCCCAGTGAGTTAACGAGTGTCACCGCATGGGTGTTGATGCATGCATTCAAAGAAGCAGGTAAGTAACTAGAAGTATGGATGATTTGACTACGCTTTTTGCGCCCAGAGAAGCATAAAACACTCATACAAAAAGGCATCACCTCAACGCTCAGCGCAGTCATTTCCAGTGTCTAGGTACCATCATATGTAAGCAGGAAAACCATCGAGTAAAGAAAGCCAAGAAAATACGGTTGCCGGAAGCGTGCGCATGCTCGTCGCGCGCGGCCGCACCATTGTCACGATTTTTCGAATGCCCTATAATCTCTCTTCAGACTCCTCGCTAGGATTTTGCGTCACGTCTCCGACCTTCTCGTCTGCTCTCTCTTCAGTCTCTTCGCTCTGTCCGACAGTGTATTACCACAGCGCAAACCCCTAGCGCTGCGAGCGCGCAAATTTACGGCTATGGTTCGGCCTGATCCCGATTGGGACAGATTGTACTGAGATGCGATAGCAAGAGCATTTATGAGACGCATTCAGTCTGCTAGCCCGCGTGATAACAGTACCCTCACGTAGCAGTACAAAAGGGCCATCATCCCTTGAGCAATTATTTTGAGGATTCCCGCCCGGAGTAGTGAATATGATCATCGGTACTGGTCCATCTGCTGGGCAACATTTGGTTGAGCATCCCGATGTGCCGTTGGTGAGCTTCACGGGAAGTATGTTTTTTTTCACTGCTACATTGTCGTTCATTTTGATGTATTCAAAGGCACACTTGTTGGCAAAAAAATAGCGGAAGTGGGTGCTCGACTCAATAAAAAAGTCTCACTGGAAATGGGTGGAAAGAATGCTGCGATCGTCTACCCATCTTGCGACCTTGAAAAAAATCTATCCACAATTGCCAAGTGAACCTCGTTTTTTTTTTTTGAATGTTGTTACTTGGACGAAGGTGCGTTTTAGGTCCTGCTTTATCAATCAGGGTGAAATATGCCTTTGTTCAAGCCGGATATTTGTGCACTCATCGGTATATGACACTTTTGTGAAGGGGTTGGTTAACGAAGCAAAGAAGGTTGGATTTTCTTGAGACATAAACTGCATTCATGAGTTTTCTAGTACGTTAATCTCTAATGTTAGTGGTATGTAAGTGTACACCTCAGCCTAGGCGTGTCACTATTTAGAGTATTTCTATTAGGTTCTTCCTCATTATTTTTGAATGCTGTCGTGTTCTGGGGCGCCAAAAGCCAGCGCCTACAGTCTGTGTCAACGATGTGATCTCTTTGCGAGCAGCTTGAGCGCAACAGCCCGTGCTGCGTTCGCTAGCGTACCGCTTGAGCGTTCAAATCTGCTGCAACGATCGGAGATCGCTGCGCAATGCCCATGCGCTACGGATGCGTAGTTGCTACGGAGAAGGATGCACGTGGTTGACACAGCTTGTATCGTTTATTCGTTGACCGTAACGACTGCTGACCGCGCGGCGACCGCTGCGCGTGCATGATGTTTTCGTAGAAAGGATGAATAGAAAGAAAACAGAGGATTCTTCTCATCTTTATAATGTAGAAAAGAAACAAAGAATTCTTCTCATCTCAAGCCACGGTCCAACTTGTCACTTTTTCGCAAGTTTAGAAGGCACGCGTCGCAGTCGCCAAGCGGTCGGCAGTCCGTACGGTCAACGAATGAACGATACGTGGACGCGCCCCATAGATTGATTGAGAGCGCTGGAATGGCGTTAGCTCGCCGCTAGGTAAAGAAAACTGTAGCAGCCTAAAGAAGCGATTTATGTGTAGTTTCATAGTAAAGTGAGTTTGTTTCAGAGTTGCAATTTTATCTTTGCAGTACACGATTGGTGACCCCACAACAAATGTAACTCTTGGAGCAATCAATTCGAAAGCACATTTTGACAAGGTAAGTGGCTGTACATCGACTTGACGAAAAGGCAAGTGGGACTATGTTTATGAAGCGACAGTGTCTGACCAGCGAGAAGATCGTAGGTGAAAATAGAAAGTTCAAGTTGCAAATATATTCTCGTCATTAATCATGTTTCTTAAACTCGCTGCTTTGAGGACAGCCCTATCTACAACAATGATCATGAATCAAAATCGAGTAAATTTAGGTAAAATCTTATATAGCCTATGCGGAAGAGGATGGAGGCACAGTTCACTGCGGAGGAACTATAGATTTCGACGGTGAATTGAAAAATGTTAGTGAATGTACAAGACTACTCATAGTTCGTCAAAAAAAGTCACCGAACTCCACCGGAGTTCAAGAATCAGCGTCGTAACGCCATATTTTGCTACACTGTGGACGAACTGTAAATCTAAGGGCTCCCTTCAACTCAGCTCTGCGAGGCGCAATCGAAAATTTGAATGTTGAAGTGCCCGTTTGGTACGGTAGGTGCACGCTACTCACGAATCCTTTTGAAATTGCCCACGGTATCGTTGATTTTTTGACCGCACGGACTGCTCAAACGCTGCGGACCCGCGCGGCGCGGCTAAAATGTTGCGAGAGCACGATTTGTACAATGACGGATTTGTACTGGGCCAAGCGTTTTACCTCGCGGCGCGTGCTCCGTAGTGAAGTTCAGTCCGTGCGGTCAACGAATGAACTGTAGTTTACTCAGCGTGCTAATTCATTGCACACTGAGTAAGTGCAAAAAAAAATCTGGAATTTGGCTGCCTACCCTATCCAATCCAGCACTTCTATATATATCAGAAGATTCGCCTAACCGGGCTGAGTCGAATGGTGCCTATGAATTCAAAATGTGTCCACTCTGAACCAAGATATGGCGAAGCGACGCGAATTTCGTTGAACCCCGGTTGAGTTCGTGGTTTTTTAAGGATTATGAGCGGTACTGTATAGGCCTCTCTCATCTAAATCACTTTTAATTGTCTTTTCAGGGATACTTCATTGCTCCTACTGTAGTAAGTGGATTAGAGGATACAAGTCGTTGTATGCAAGAAGAAATTTTTGGCCCTGTCGTCTGTGTGACAAAATTTGGCTCTTTGGAGGTACTCTGTCGTACAATCTAACTTTGCAGCATTTTCCGTCCGTACACTTCTTACAGGAAGTTACGAACCGTGCAAACGACACCTGCTACGGTCTTTCGGCGACTGTCTGGAGTGAGAACAGCGAAGAATTACTGAACACTGCCCATGCACTGAGAGTTGGGACCGTTTGGTGCAACACCTGGCTGGTTGGTATCTTCTCTTGAATGGGTGAACTGATGGCGGCGTCGCGTTATGGAGCAAAGCTACGCCGCATCTGCTCGTGGTATATCCTGAGGGCCCTTTGCGTTGTGTCGCTCCTAATCGCAGTCGCAGAGGAGCGCTACCGAGCAGATTGAGCCATTTTCCTCATCCTAATAAAGAGATCAAAATGTGAATGATTAAAGCATTTCAAAGGCGAATCAAATTTAGAATATGAGGAAGAAGCATCTGCAAACCAAGGCAAGAGAGAGAAGATGAGAAAGTCAATTTCCACTTCCCTTGAACACTTTCAACTCAAATCCAGCATTGCATCATCCCAGATTCAGCCTTCGATTCATCCCTAGAACTCAGCTATTTTTGAATTTTCTAATTTGCAGTCTTCTTTGTTTTCCTTATTGCTTTTATACAGTTTAACATATCAGGTCGTAGTAATAGGAAATGGCTCAATCCGCTGGCAGGAGCAGCGCTACTCCTGTGCAATTAATGGCGAAGCAACGCAAATGGCCCTCAGGATATACCGCAGAAACATGCGGCGCAGCTTTGCTCCATAACGCCTGCCCCCCGAATTGATAACCTGAGCAAAACGGAGTGTTTGGTGAATTCGAAATCGTCTAGTCTTCTCAGGTCCCACTCTCTTGCAAAAAATCGTTCATCAAGGGCAAACCAGTAATTTCTATGATATTGTTTGCAGCAAGTATAAATTTCAGACTCGAGACCTTAACATGCCTTTTGGTGGAACTAAACAGTCAGGAATGGGAAGAGAAGGAGCGCTCGACTCTCTGCACTTCTTCACTGAACAAAAAACCATTTGCATAAAAATGTAAATCTTATAAAATCTCTCCGACATTTGAAGAAGGCGCATGTTTTATTTTCAAGAAAAAACTAGTGAACAATGCATGTATGATTTGAACGTTGCCACAGGTTTTAGTTATTAATATTAGGTTGGCTAATAAATAAGTTTGGTAGCTTGCGGCTCCTACAAATGTGCAGACAAATTTTTGCCAATGTTTGGTATCTCTGGAAAGACACTCCCATGAGAATCTGAATATAAGCATTATTTGAATTGAATTTATTCCTCTATAAAAAACACGAAAAAGTGGAAACCCTCATTTACACATTTTGAGCAAATGTGAGAAAGTTTCGTTTTTCTAATCAAAAAATTTCAAAAAAAAAACAGATCACGACTTTTATTGCTATTCTTCGTTGTTCCCGCTGGAGAAGTACCACCAAGAATTCTACCTGCTCAAGTGCGTATTGCGATACAGACCATGAAGACGTCCACGGCTCCAGGACCAGATCATCTTTCCGACTATTTCTGCGAGCCGGAGGACACCATCTACAGAGGTTCCAGCGTCGCATTTAACATCTTACCTCCAAAAGAAAGAATTTCCGACCAGTGGAGAACGTCAAGAACCGTCCTTCTCTTCAAGAAGGGTGGGGAGGATTTTCGGAACTACCGTCCAATATGCCTGCTGAGTGTGCTGTACAAGCTTTTCACGAAGATTATCCTCGCTCGCATATCTAGGACACTGGATGAAGCCCAACCTCAAGAGCAAGCTGGATTTCGCAAAGGATTCAGCGGCATAGACCACATCCAGACGGTTTCGAGGCTCATAGAAGTCTGCCGGGGGTACCGATTGCCTTTCGTCCTAACCTTCGTCAACTACGAGAAAGCCTTTGACAGCGTCGAAACCAACGCCATTCGTTGAAAGATAAGTTATTTACTTCTTTTTGAAAGATTGTTGAAACAAGTAAAAAACAATTGCGGGAATCGCGAAAAATGTCCGAAGTAGATAAAGGATTGGTAAATTAGCCTTAATTTTTTGAAAAGATAAAATTGCGACATTAGCTAGCGTACCACAAACGCAGAAGTCACTCTTTTCCTCCCTAATGGCCCTTCATGTGGACGCAAAACGTCCTGGATGTATGGGGAATTCCACCCCAGCCCTTCCATGCTAAGGGAGCGCTCTACCACTGAGCTATACCCCCCACAACGTCAACTTTGACAAGAATTATCTATCTAGCCATCTGCAACTGCAAATTCTACGTTTCAATTGCTAAAACAATAGATCAATCGATAAGTCACAGCTAATCAGATGAAGAACATAGTAAACAAATTATGGATTGGCTAGGATTGCTTATAGGATTGATTCGGAGTGCTTGAAAACAACTGCTGAACATCACTGGGTAAAAGATTGACAAGCATCGAGTCCATAAGCTCGAAACAACGATCCAAATTCAAATTCATCTCTCGAACAACACTACGGCGAATGTAGAGGAAGACGATCACGTTGACGATCAGAATAATGCAATTGAATACAAACGCTACAATTAGGAACAAGATTGCCGGCACAGTGCTGCTGTAACGATCTGCATACCATTGATATAAAATATATGGATTTTCTGCATCTGTACAGGCTTTGTACTCCATAATATAAATAGGACAACGAAATGGTAGGAATGCAGCTGTTTGAGAGAAAGAAGTTTATAAAATGAAAAAACATTTACAACTGTCAATAAATACAGGGTGTCCCAAAAGTATGTATCGAACGTTTGATCGTTAATATCTCTCTTCCCAAGAAGTCTTTTGCCTTGCTTCAAGTACCATTTTGTAGAGCTAGCTTCAACTTAGATTAGCATTATAGAACGAATCACTCATTCCTCTTCATTACTGTAGGATTACGGTAGAAACTTCAAAGAGGGTTTTAAGCAATGAAAGGCCATATTTTGCCTTAGAAAGGAAATAAAACAGCCTGAAAGTTTTCACACTAGGCTAATTAGAGTTGCTGATTATAACTGTAAAGTTCCCAACTTATTATGATGCTTCATTGAGGAGTTATGCCAGGTAAGAGGTAGCGGCCATTTTTTCAATGTTCCTAAAAAGTGCGATTACACCGTTTAGAAAGCTTTGTAATCTTGTGAATAGTTGAGTATTGAACTCAGCATCCATAAAAACCCTATTACACAAGTTTTCACAATTTTTTGAAGAATTTTGGAACTGCAGCTTTTTCCACATTGACACCATATGTTTCAAGTTTCTACCGTAATCCTACAGTAATGAAGAGAGATGGGTGATTCGTTCTTTAAGGCAAATCTAAGTTGAAGCCAGCTCTACAAAATGGTACTTGAAGCAAGGCAAAAGACTTCTTGGGAAGAGAGATATTAACGATCAAACGTTCGATACATACTTTTGGGACACCTGTATAAATTTGTAGGGCGATTTGATAACACCTTTCTAATGTAGAGAACTTTCGAAGCGACAATTGATACTCCCTGAAATCTTAATTTAGTCTTCTTTGAAGCTTACATTTTTTCGTACATGTAATTCTTGCATGAATATAGGAATAGTGCTGTGATTGATTCGGAAGCCTTTAGATAGCTTTTTCATATGATGGAAAATTGTTAGCCAAATCTTGCTTTCATAAGATTTTTTGGGCTGAAGTGGCCTTTCTTCCTTTGGTCTCTTTCGTACAATAAAGGTGTGCTGTCAGTACTCTGTATGTCGTTCTCTTCAAGATTTTGAATGGTAAACAGCAAGACTTTCCCCTATTGTTTCATGAAAATCCAACTGGGTGTTAAAAAGTCTTTCAATGGACTTATTACAAAGCGTTTAATCTACAAAATTATGAGGCTCAAAAGCTTTGCGCTAGCATTCATCGTACAGAAAAGCACCAGTTTACCTCCTCATCATACGATTTCTCAATTTTTAAAAAAATTTTCATGGTTTTTTGTACTTTTCTGGTCATTGAGTCTTTCACTAGGTTCCCTCTTGTACTAGCATGAGTTGATCTTCCGGTTTTTTTCCAAATTTTCGAAATAATTATTTTGTGTCGAGAGTTATCAAAGTTCAGGCATCACTTTCCATGGGCGCTTGCAAAAGCTAATATTGCCAAATTTACAAGTTGTCAAAAAAACTATTATCAAATAGTGTTCTCCATCTCCAGTCGTTAAACGTATTGAAAGTTCCAATGAGATTTGACTCTACTTTTAGCTTTGATTTGAGAGTCACTCTTTCTGACTGAAGATTCCGATCGCATGTTTCTACCAAATGTTATGATTTCTAGTTTTTAAACTCGAATTTTGACAATCTCTAATATGCATATACGCACTTATCATATCCAGGAAAAATTTTGATAGAACTGGAATCACGCAGCGTAATTTCATAAGAATTGTTGCAGTTCTTATGCGAAAAATTGATATTTACTACAGAATTCCGGATTTATTTTCGAATTTTGAACTTTAGTTTCTAGTGTCTTGCGCTAATAATAGAGAATTATTTCAATACATCACGAAAAATAACGAGTTGATGCAACTCTAATTCAACCGATTCATTTCATTCAGTTCAAAGATAGGAAATCAACCCCTTTCTAGTGCTGTTCAAAGCAATATTGATGGATACAAGATGATGAAAAAGAACACTTACATCGTGTTTGTTAATGTCTTTGAGGGTGCTAAAAATTGACAAAGGTCCGGTTCTACATTTAATTGGTTGCGACTACATCAATCAAGAGAAATTTTTATCTCAACAAATTTTTTAGCCAGTATAATACATATAACAGTCTCTATGCAATAAATATAAACTATGAGAAACGATCCTCCATCTTTTTGATGCAAGACTTACGGACCTATCCAACGAAACTAACGTTGAGTTTGACTGTCATACCAATCACACACTCTCAATTATTTTGCAAAGAATTTTCTTAGAAGGCAAAAATCAAGGTATCTAGTTTGAAAAGAATTGCTTAGAAATTGGTACTTATGCTAAAGCTCACTTCGCAGTCCCTACAATAAAACAATTATAATTCATTTCATGACTAAGGGACTCGACGCCGCTTTGAACACATGGTCTAAACAAGCTTGAACTTGTTCCTACCTGTTTCCAAGTAGCAAATACTCCTACTCTACATGGATCACAAGTAATATCTTGTTAACGACACTAAGATTAAGATGCTAAAATTACGCTTGTTTCAACAACGGTGCAAAGCGGTTTCGAGTTTTTTGGTCACAGAATTATTAACATTTGATTGCTGATAGCATAGTTTTGTAAAAGGCGCAAATCGAAGTAAATTGCGATTAGAGCCTTTATCTCATGAAAGTTTACTTTTTAGTGATTGAAGGTCTTGACGTATTATCGGCACTAACATCACTCGAAGGCTATCGTCAATATTCGACAATAGTTAGAATGTCCAGCAATCCTCTGACAAAAAGTCGATGCAGTGTAGAATAATGTGCTTTCACTAAGGGCGCAGACGAATACAAGTCGATAGTTCAATAGTGCTAAATCAATGTACGAATACACAAAGAAATGCAGTGCAATAGCACCCAGCTCCAGCGCTTTTTATCTGTTCACAAGCACAGAGTGATGTTTTCAGTATATTTAGACTCTACCGGGTAGAACTTTTACTTTTTTAGAAGTTTTGTATTTGACATCAAAAGACATTCTGCATTTTCTAATAGCAAAAATATCGAATGGCTCTACGTTTCATAGAAGTATACAGCATTCTAAGAATTTTTGCATTTCTATTTGCTTGTTTGATCGTGATATTGATAACTAATCAGTTTTGCTCTTGAAGGAAAAAATCTCCGTAACTTGCCTGACGATTTTTTCCCAATCTGAGATCGACTTTGATATGTAAACGTCAAGTAATAAATTGTTGAATTTTCTGGAAGTTTTTTGAGTCATTCCTGGCAAATTTCAACTTGCGTTGTTGAAAAGCTCGAACTTCCGAACTGCCTTCGTAACAGCACCAGTGCTCCAGGAAACCCATAAAAAAACTTAAACGCAGGAAAAACCAGAATGAGCAAGCTTTTGGGAGGAGCGCCACCACAGAATTGTTTTTATGATTACTGTTACTCGTGTTCGTTGAGGTTAATCAGAGTTTTAGGGAGCATTGTAAGTTATTGCGGTTTACTTAGCATAACTGATAAGCGCAATATTGCGGCAAGTGCAAAGTTTA